ATATACATATTACCATAATTTTATATTTATATTTTATGTTTATATTTATATTATTATTTATATTATTATATTTATATAATTGTTTATATTTATAATTATAGTTTATATTTTTGCATATTAAAATACTTGAAACAAGTGGAAAACATATGATGTTGCATATTAACGATGCGATGAAAAAGCTTATATATATGTATCTTATGTGTAAATTATCTGAGACTCACGGCAAACATTACAATATTCGACTTCGCTTGTGAATCTAACGAAAGACGGGAAGAACGCAAGAACCAACGATTAGTCTGTCTCAGTCTAAAAGAAAGACGGGTGAACCGATTGAGAGACAAAGAAAAAGATACATACTATATATCTATCCTTGTCGTTCGACTAGATGGCGCTACCTTCTGGACAGCGTAGCAGACGCCAGCGGCCGAGTAGCCGATTCCAAGGTTACGCGGCGGTTCAGCATCCTCTTAAGATGATCTAAGTTGCGTAAACATGAGTTAAAGAGGCTGGCTGCACTAAACAACTCGTATTCCTTCTCTCTCTCTCACACTTGCACCCTAGCTTATAAATTACTTTGTACAAAACGATTATGCGCTCCGTCATTGTATTAGTTTCAACACACCTGTATGTTAGTAATTTGCTAGGATTTCGGTTTGTTTTTTTTATAATAAATATAACTACTTTATAATGTGTAGAATCAAACTAAAGAATTATTCTTTGTTATCCTTCTTTCCGTATAACCCACTCTCACTTCCTAGTTAAAATCGCTAGGTCCTGTCCTTGGTAAATGAGATTTGCGTCTCAGATCTAAAAAGGGACCAACAAGCGAGTGTTCGCTAGACAGAGTAAGACCGGCGTACGCCGTTGACTTGTCGACGAATATAAACAAACTCGCTCGATTCTTTTACAGCGGGATTTCCGTGTCCACTGTAAAGAGAGATATGGAAATCGACGCGTTTACTGTAATCATCTCTTTGTATGGCAACAGTGGTGTTCCCTTTGTCCGCTCTTGTTAAAAGTATGTCTGGGTTATTATTTAAAACTTTTTTTGTAGATTTTGCTTTGTTAAGTAAATTTGATTCTAACGGTGTTAAAAGTTTGTTATTATGTAAAAAGTTGTTTAAATATAAAGATATATTGTTTCTTAGTTTATTTTTCGTTAAATGGTCAAATTTTTTTATATTATTCTCTGTGTCTTTAATTATTTCAACGACTATTCTATTTTTTCTATTTTTTGCCGGTAAACAAAATTTTTCTTTTAGTTGTGTGAGTTGTATAACAATTCTAGGTATTGTTTTATTTGTTAGACTGATAAACCAATTGTCGTTTATTTTTATGTAGGTTTTTACTTTGTGATAAAATTCTTTTGGTTCAATGTTTATATTATAGTGGTTGCTATTTATTGGATTATAATTGAATTCAATGCCTTTATAGGATTGATTTGTTCTTTTATTAGTTATCATGTTTGTTTGAGTGTCTGTCTCTTGTACGTAATAGTTTATTTTTTTGATTTGTTGTAATTTATTATTATTTAATGCATTTTATTTTTTTTTCTAATATGTGTTTCTTATGAATGTAATGTCTTTTTAATGATTTGTATTGAGATGTAAAGAAATTGTGTGAAATATTAGAAAGGACAATTCTGTACAAATTTTTTAAGATTGTGTGTAATTTGTTTTTGAGATGTCTTATTTTTTTATACTTGTCATTTATTTCTATTGTAAGTATTTTTGTTTGTAACTTATCTATGGTATTATTTATTTTGTGTTGGTTCTTATAGTGAAAAAATGTAGGTAGGTTTGATCTGATATTTCTAATATGTTTAGGTACAATGTTTGTTTTAAGCTTAGGTAACATAAAAATTAATAACACAACAGTCAAATCTAGTTTCAGAAATCTTAATCAATTGTCGCAATTTGTTAAAATACATAAAGATCCTGTTCCGATAGACCAACAAAAAAATGTAATTTACCGCATTGATTGCAAACACTGCGAGTACACATATGTAGGACAAACCAAACGACAATTACGAACTAGAATAAAAGAACATGCGAATTATGTTAAAAAGAGACAAGTACAAATATCGGTGTTAGCAAAACATAGCATTTAAACAAGACACTGCTTTAATTAGAATTCAGCGACTATTTTAGATGCAGAAGCAAATTATTTTAAAAGATTGACTTCAGAAATGATTCACATAAAAAACAGAAATTTAGTTTGAATTTGATGCGAGACACAGAATCCTTACACGACGTATACTTATCTATATTAGATAGTGTATCTTTTAACTCATAGATGGGGCAATTCATCGCATCAAGTTCAAACAATTATATATCAAACCAGTATCGTTACACTGATCATACTGACATAACAATAAGATACTCCTTTGTTCACATTTAACTATTATCTACTGTTAACGAAACATTAGGTATATAATTTTTTGTTATTGCGTAAATATTGTTAATGTTTTGTTATTGCGTACATATTGTTTGATCTATAATCATTGTAATTTTAACTGTAACAGATCAATTGTAAAGACGTCAAATAAAGTCAAAACGTTTTGATTAAAAAAACATTTATATTATAATCATCATTACTGCACTACATCATGCAAAGACTCAATAATATAGCCGTTTTCATTTTAATATTAAATTGGATTTACCAAAAAGAGCCCGAGGACACACCTCAAAATACAACATTAATTAAAGTATTGCCTATCGCTTTCTACTACTTTTTGACCATTTTTCGGGAAGAGAACGAATACCGTGTCGGAAGAACGCTTCGTCTTTAGATGCAATCCACGAATCGACCCATTTGTGACAATCTTCGTAAGAAGTGAACTTCTGCTCAGACAGGCTATGAGCCATCAAATAAAACAAATGGTAATCAGAAAAAGCAACATCTGGAAAATACGGCGGGTGGGATAGGACTTCCCATGTAAGTATTTCCAGGTATGTTTGTACCGGTTTTGCGACGTGCGGACGAGCATTGTCGTGCAGCAAAATGACTTTGTCGTGTCTTTTGGAGTATTCCGGCCGTTTTTCTTTCAATGCGCGGCTCAAGCGCATCAATTGTAGTCAATAGCGGTTCCCAGTTTTGGTTTCATTTGGTTTCAGCAGTTTATAATAAATCACACCCTTTTGATCCTACCAAATACATAGCAGGAATTGAGACCCATGGATATTTGGCTTTGCCACTGATGTTGATGGTTGGCCGGGCTTAACCCGGCCATGACTTTCTGCGCTTTGGATTGTCGTAATGGATCCATTTTTCATCATCGGTGACAATTCGATGCAAGAAACCTTTTTTTTCCAGTCGAAGCAGCAGTTCACACGTCAAAAAACACTTCTCAATGTCCCTTGGTTTTAATTCATATGGGACTTAATATCCTTCCTTCTGGATCATGTCCAAACTTTTAAGACGGTTTCCTACCGTTGATAAGTCAACTCCCAATGATGTAGATAATTCTTGAAGTGTTTGACATGAGTCTTCATTGAGCAATGCGTCCAAATCATTATCTTCAAATTTTTTCGACTGGCTAGGTCGCTCCTTGTCATTCAAGTCGAAATCACCAGCTTTAAAACGTGCAAATTACTTCCGACACGTTTGCTCAGCTAGAGCATGTTCACCATACACTTCCACTAAACTACGGTGAGCTTCAACAGCACTTTTGTTCATATTAAAGTAATGAAGTAAAAGTCCCTGCAAAAACACTTTATTTGGCACAATTTTTGACATGTTCAATAATTTATAAAGTGTTGTTATTTACGATTCAAAAAACGGTTATGTAAAGCAAATGACGTCTAATGACAGCTGTTTCACGATAAATACATTACTGTACGTAACAACGAAATACTGTAGTACTTACGCCATCGTTTGTAAAACGCTACAAATTAATTCCAACACCTAATAATTATCAGTTGTATACAAACAAATAGCTTGACCGATGTCAAAAATAAAGTTCGTTCTAAATTAGAAAAAGTAAAAATATTTCCGTTAGAATTGGATATTTTATAGATAATTTCTAACATTATTAAACATAATAAACAAGTAAAATAATTAAAAGATGAAAATTTTAAACGTACTAGTAAACGTTAAATTGAAAAAAATGATATAAAAGAAAATGTATATTTCTTCAAAATATAGTTTTTCTAAGTCTATTTAATTATTTTGGACTTTAATTTTTTTATTTAAAAAAATATATACTGACTTCTCCATTTGCCGCCGCCGCCGATAAATTATCATCCGCCGATTCCGCCGCCGCCAAAAGAGAAAATTTTCGGCGAATCCGCCGCCGCCATTCTAATTTACCTCAAACGCCGCCGTCAAAATAAAATAAAACGGCGCACAGGTTTATCCGAGCTCTCTTGTCCTTCTAAAAATCCCGCGGATGTGCAATCCGCGCCAACTCCTCCTCTTCCCTCTCGCTTTTCTTCCCCTTTGCCTTCCACATCCCCGCAACCAGATCCCGCAGACAAACCATCTTCCGATTCCCCTCGACCGACCTCTCCACTAAACTCCTGGTTACAATAGTGCCTCAAACTCGCTTCCACCTACCGGATTGCAGATCCGAACAAGATACCTTATGTCGTCGTCCTTTTTAAAATAAACCCTTTCGATCTCTTCCGGTTAATCTCCACAACACTCCCTAGAAAACTACTTCCCATTAAATTCTTGTAAATGACACCTTGATGACATCCATCTGGTCCCCGTTTGCCATTTCTACACTATTTTCCCCCCTAGCTCCGCCACAATCCATGAAATACTCGAAATCAATTTAGAATGATTTCAAAAGTTATCCCACAAATCGGCGTGACGCACAAGCACCCATTTCACTCACAATTGTAATAATAAGCCGGAGGCCTCTCACATATTCTTATTTGAAATACATTTTTTGAAATACATTTTTTGATATCTCTAATAGTTTTTGAAATACATGGAGAAAAGCGCAAAGCTATTTTACAAATGAGGAGTGTTTCACTCTTTAGAATCAATTTTTGGCCGCTTCTGAAAATTTCTGCATTCATGTAGTTATCTATACATATATACAAAATTCTATCATAAAAACATCTCTATGTAATTGCATAGTAATATAATTTTGAATTAAGATTTTTCTAAAATTTTATTTTCAGCATCTATTATACAAGGAATTTGCGTTGTATACTACGATAAAAAGAGTGATTTCTTGAATAAAGATGTTGTTCTTCTCTGAATATTTCTATGTTGCAGTGCAACTTAATTTGAGAGATCATTGAGCATGTGTATATTGCAATTTCTATATTCCATATTGTATATGTAATTTAAAAAAAAGTAAGAACAGGCGCCAAGTACACGCACAACACGTATTGTATTTAGATAATAAATTAAAATTAGATTTAATGGTACAAAAATTGTTTTCTCTGTATCGTAACTTACAAACAATTACTTCTTTAAAAAATCTGTTTTACAAAAGAAGTGATATAATTACTATAAATTTATCTCCAAAATTTATTTTACGAAAGACGTGATATATATTATAATAATAATAAAGTAAATAGTGATTGATATCAATGGTCGACCTCAGGTTCAGAGATAAATAATCAAATGAAATGAAATAATGAGGCGTTACTGAACTAGTTGCTAGTTGTTATGCAGATGTATTTAATTCCAAAATGATACAGACGTTTCGACTAATGTTTTAAGTCATCTTCAGTGTGCTGTGTATAGAAAAATGACATATTCGGATATGAAAAATCTATCAATGTACAATAAGTGGTTCTGGGACATACCTTACTCGAAAAATTCTTAAATCTAAGAAAACAATGTTGTCTAGTGAAAGTTGTTATCCAGCCTGAGTTATAAGGCAGAATGTTTTCAAACTAAAGGTATGTTTACAATAAAAGCAAGAACATAAGCATGTTTACAATAAACTCGTTGAATCTTATTTAAGTCTATTCAATAATGGTGAGAATATTTCGTCTAATATTTCTGTATCTTGCATTTTGCTGAGTCCCTGATTTTGCAATTTAATGTGTAACATTTCAGAAGTTAGTCTCTTAATGTAGTTTGATTATTTAATATTTCTGAATAGTCCCAATTAAACGTGTGACTCGTTTTTACATTGTGTTCTGCTAAGACTGAGTTACGATCCTGTTTCATTACATACTTTTTATGTTCATTAATTCTGGTCTTAATTTGTCTTTTTGTCTGTCCTGTGTAAGTAGCATCGCAAGATTTGCACGAAATACGATAAACTACGTTGTTGTGATGATATTTGTCTATCGGATCCTTGTGTGTTCTAATGAATTTGTTTAATTGATATAAATTTCTAAAATATAATCTTGTGTTGGGTATTTTGTTTCTCAGTGTTTTGAAACTATTATGTTGTGTAGGTATAAATAGAATTGTAAAATATTTAATTGGTTTGTTTTCCAATATGTGAGTCTAGATCTAAGTAGTTGTTATTTAATTTGGTTGTAAATAGAACATGTAGTCTTTTGTTAATAGTTTTAAAAATTAGATCTAATGGATAATTATTTTAAAGTAAAATTTGTATTATAAATTGTAAATTTATAGAATGAAAACTAGGATCCGATAGTAAAATTGTCTAATTGGCTCAATCTAATAAAGTATAAATTATGCCTATTTTTTGGCATGTAGGGTTTTGAGAAAAATAATTCAAATATCTCCCTGAGAAACTGGGTTTGTGGTACCAATCACAAACTATTATATTGTTTCTCAGTATGATACTCAAATCAAGATAACTTAGTTGATGATTTGTTTGTAACTAGTACAGTCGGTCACATAAGAGCGTAGTCACGATTACTAGCGATCGGATAATAAAATTACTGTAATTTTTTTTTCTCATACAGAGGGCAGTATAGTCCTTCATGCTTTATGAAGGAAAATCAGCTGACTGTTGTTTTTAATTCGATCCTTTGTATTTTTCCAAAATGAGTACCGCTTACGCTTCGCGCTTCGAAGCAGTTTTTTTTGTGCTTGCATCCCAAAGAACCTCAAATGACTCAAACGGCTGCTGCAAAATACATGCAAAAGTCGAAACAGTTCGTCAGCAAGTGGGTGAATCGTTACAAAGAGGTGTTCTTTGGTATGCAAGCACAAAAAAACTGCTTCAAAGCGCGAAGCGTAAGCGATGCTCATTTTGGAAAAATACAAGGATTGAATTAAAAACAACAGTCAGCTGATTTTCCTTCATAAAGCATGAAGGACTATACTGTCCTCTGTATGAAAAACAAAAATTATAGCATTTTTATTATCCGATCACTAGTAATCATGACTACGCTCTTATGTGACCGACTGTATGTAAATTTAATTTTATAATGGACAGAATTGAATGAATTTAAAACTTCGTCTTCGTTTGTCTGCGGGGAAAGTTAATGCTATGTCGTCCACGTAACGAAAGTAGAATAGTATATTGAATTTAAGTGTGTTTAATGCTTTGTGTTCTAACTCCTGTAATGTTATATGTGCTACAACAGGTGATAATGGAGAACCCATAGGTGTTCCATATGTTTGTTTATTAAAAATGAAATACGTGGACGACATAACAAACTCCACAGCCAACATGAAATCCGTGAAATTAATTTTCGTGTTCATTTTGATGAATCTCCACCTGTTTGCAACTGCCTCTAAGGCTAGATCAATCGGTACGTTAGTGAATAGAAATACTACATCTAATGAGCAAAGAATATAATTCTCTTCCAATCTCAATCCAGATATCATGTTAGACAGGTGAAAACCATCCTTTACATAAATTGGTGAATTAGGAATGTTTTCATATAATATTTTTATAATAGTTCTCAAGTAGATATCTAAATTACCTGTCACAGAGTCCGATCAGTCAAAAAATAGGAACAATATACACTTTAACAGACAGAGCAATACTATTATCAAATCCTAAATTCCACGAAAAAAATACAGTTAGTGATAAACATTTTAATCAACAACAATTATCTAATAAAACTAATATTCAACACAATAAATAAAAGAATGAGAACGCTATTTTGCACAAAACTCAACAGGCACGCCAAACTGATACTGCGATGATTTAAATAAAAATACATAAAACAACATAAATCTAATGACCGATACAGAAACGCTTGATGACATATACTTATCATTATTAGATAAGATCACAAAAGATAGTACATAACTTTAATTTAATTACACACACATAGATGGAGTAAACACATACGCAAACAATATTTACAAATAAAAGTGACACACACCAGTCACAGACAACACATAACAGTAACAACATTTTATATTCAAATGACATAGTGAAGATTGTTCACTTTATCATCAAATTCAATTGACTCACTTTACATATTTTTGATTTATTTTTTAATTTATTCAATTGGTACGTATATATAAAAGAACAATTTTATGTAATACTGCACTTAATAATAATTGTCAAATAACAACTCACACATTGTACAACTGAAGAAAACTTCAATAAAAAGTCGAAACGTTTTGTTATAAATCATTCTACATCATTACATACAATCCTGCGATCGGTTTGACGTAGCCGTTTATTTCAAATCAATTTTGGATTCTCCACATCGAACCCGAGGTCACCCCTCAACACATCATTACTATAATTAAAGCGTTTGGCTAATATATCGGTAACTTGGATCTTTTATTCTATATCACTACATTAAATTATTTTACACTTAATTTTGTTACACTTATATATATATATATATATTACAATTATATAAAATACTATTCTAACTCTATTCTAACCTTCCCCGTCCGATATTTCCACAATGGAATCTTCCGTTTCCGAAATAACAATCACGGGGCGTTCGTTTTCTCTATCGTCATCGGTGTCGTCGTCGGCGTCATCGTTCTCGTCGTCGGCGTCGTTGTCGTCGGCATCTTCGTCATCATCGTCGTAGTCGTCGTCGTCGTCGTCATTGTTCTCGTCGGCGACGCCGTTGTTGTCGTTGTCGTTGTTGTCGGCAACGATTTCGCTTTTGATCTCCGACAAGAGACGGACTGTTTCCCGCTCGTAGCGCTCGTCTTTCATCTGCGCTTCCAGCCGCCTTCTTCCGCCTTCTTCCGCCTTCTCCTCCACCGCCTATTGACGCTGTTCTTCTTCCGATTCTATCTGTTGAAAATGGTCAGGTAATGTCCCTGGCGGATACCTAACTTCCAGCACTATCTGCACTTCATCATCTGAAAAAGTAATATATACAGGGTGTCCCAGAATTGGTTTAACATCTCTCGTAGGCAGGTAGAAAGAATAAAACTAAGGTGAAAAGTCCTATACCATTTTGCTAGATTCGCAATAGTTACCGAGATTTTAAGTAACAAAAATCCGCGAATAAGCGTACATCAGGCTGTCTTACGCGCGTAGGACAGCCCGGCGCGCTTCACACAATTACATTTTAATATGTATATGTTATAGTATATGCTGTTATATTAGCTCCTCCCATATGTCGCTATGGATAACACCGTTAGCGCGCGAAGCGCGGCGGGCAGTCTTACGCGCGTAAGACAGCCCGATGCATGCTTATTCGCGGATCTTTGTTAATTAAAATCTCAGTAACTTTTGCGAATCTAGCAAAATGGTATAGGACTTTTTACCTCAGTTTTATTCTTTCTACCTGCCTACGAAAGATGTTAAACCAATTCTGGGACACCCTGTATATAAGTTTATATATTATTTCTTTATATATTTTTCATTATGATTAACTATTTAGTTAGTTTACTTAGCGGAATCAACGGGAAGAGAAGGAAGAACCGCTACAGAAGGAAGGGGATGAGGAAGCTCGCTCCTACGTGCTTTTCCTAAAATTTGAAAATTATTAATTAATATATTTTTATTCTTCTATAGTATTTCGTGTTTTACTCATATACTTACGCAGTGGAGGTACGCTTTCTTTTTCTTCTCCCTCCCCCTCGCGTCGTCGTCGACGCTGGGCCGCTGGAACAGGGCGTCGCATTGGCGACACCCAGGCCAAGAGACCCAGGGACGAGGTTCCGCACGAGGAGGTACGCTCGCCACCTCGCTCGCATCTTCTTGCTGCTGCTGCTGGTGCTGCTGCTGCTGCTGCTGCCAAGAAGCAGAACAGGATGGCGTCGGTGCAGCTTCTTCTTCTTGAGCCATTGTTACTTCATTACAAATGTTCACTAAATTAAATAAACGATAATTAAATAAATGCAAAATATAAAAAAAGTTTTACAAGCGCGAAAATAATATTCTTACGAGAATAGAAACTGTTTTTGTAAAGATAAGTAAATGTAGCTTCAAGAATTCCTAATAAACAAATTCTGGCTATTGAAGCAAAACACTGTTGTTGGTGTGTGAATATTTAAATCAGTTTATTGAAACTTAGTAGCATTAACGCTTTTGACCTTGTATTAGGTCTTTCTCAAATGCATTTCTACAATTAAATTAACATAAAATCCAAATAATGATTTAAAAAATTAATTAAAAGTCGCAGAATAAATATAATATAGAATAGTCACTTACAAATTACTTTGGTAATGTACATCGCACAGTGCTGATCGAGAATGTCCATGTCGCACAAGCAGACCCGACCAACACTTTACAGAGGATAAACGCGACTGAGAAACAGCGTGTGTATTTGACTTTTATTCAAAACTGATTTAAATATTCACACATCGACAACAGTGTTTTGCTTCAATAGCCAGCATACATTTGTTTATTAGAAACTGTTTTGTTTTTACTCATCCCTGTTGTCGCGTATCATTCGTGCGATCAACACTTGCACATCTTTCTCCTCGTGTTGGAGCGACGTGCGAAGATCTACAACATCACACGCGATTCATAACAGCCGAGGATCACCATCAAAAAATCTTAATGCGTGCAATGTTGCGAGGAGCGTATTTGAGATGCGATGCGCGATACGTGTGAATAAATCAATGTTGTCTGTATTATCGGTTACACGTAAGAGTACTTCACGCATGTATGATGTTATAAACACATCAAACGAACACTGCATAACAAATGTTGCAATGTCTTCTATAATTTTTGCAGCTATTTTTACACTAGAATTGCAGTTGCACTTGCGGAAACACTATTTATTTGAATCGCTATTTATTCAATACTTACGCTTGATGCTCTGAACTCAGACTACGTTTTGAGCTCAAAATGCAGTCTGTTTTATACCCAAAATTACACTGTGATTGGAGATGAGAGGGGAGGCGAGATGTCACAAATTGTCATAAATCCTCTGTTACTCCGAAAACTATAAAGTTTTTGCTAGCCAAGTGAAACACTATTTTTTCGTTTCCATAACGGAGACATGTTATAACCTGATCTAAAAAACCTCAAGGTTTAGAAGTGGACCTATGTCGCATATCGCCATAATTTCTATCATTTTTTGTCAACGGGTTAACAATTCTCTACTTGACTGTCCATAACGTTGACAGCGATTTTGTAACCCGAGCCGTAGCAAGCAAGCAAAGGTCTTGCAGTATAAAAACGATTTATTTATGACTTCGGGGTCATCCTGTGAAAATTTTCTGGAAGATTTTTCGAGTTAATCACGTACGCGGAAACACGTTGCGACAGGATATAACAAGATGCGCGATATAAAAACAACTTATATCAAATCATTTTTTATTAATTTTTCTATGTACAAATGGCGTAAAAATTTTTTAATTTTTGTTTTTCCAATGAAGCGTGTGCAAACAAGACAGGTTTCGGGCGGAAAAAGTAAAACACAATGTATATGGTATTTATTTTATATAAAGACAGTATATTTCATTTTTATTCACATTGAAATATATTTTTGTATACAAGCAAACCAGAAGAAGACACTTTTAACGCTTTGCTAAAATACTTTGCACAACATTGTCCAAATATAGCATACACATTTCTAGAAATACCTAGGTAAAATAAGTATCTAGAAACGGCAAATTTTTAATTTGCGTTTGTACAGCACGTTTGATATTGCTGTAATTATCTCTAATTGTTAATTTTATAAAGTCTGCGTTTATATAGGCTTTCGGGAGTGACAATTCCGTTTCTTGTATTAGATACTTGCAACAGTCGCTAACACTAGATGCTAACGTATCTAAGTGTTCTATATACGCGTTAACAGATTGCGACATATTCTGCAGTCCGAGAAATGTTTTTGCATCACAACGGAATCGGCAAATATCTTACGCTTCTTTGCTTTAGAACAATCCGAAACTTGTTCTCTCACTGTCTCACTGTTAGATGTTTCCTCCTCCTCCTCCAGACTCTTTGTGTAAAATTACTACGGCCTTAGATCCATACGCCGTACTAAACGCGATCGTGATATTATTATTTATCAAAATCGTCTTGTACTTGCTTCCGTCCAGGTATAAACTTATTATCGGCATGGCGTCTTGAAATTTCTTCCACGCATTAACATCGAGCTATATGGTATTTGTTCCATTTCCGCATAATTTAATAGCAGGATAAAAACCGTTCTTTATATCCTAGAGCAATGCCACTTGAATTCTCTTTGTATGCGAATTATTCAATCCGTACATGGTGGAAAGCAGCATCTCACGTCTGATACTTTGCTTCTCGATGGTGGAATGTAAATTTGAACTGGATATAGATTTAAATTAGAAACAGACCGTATAAATAACAATTAATCAAAATAGACCCGCACAGCCTTAAACCACTGATCAAAGGTAGTAAATATAATATACAATTTAAATAAGGTGAACGTTTCGATCATTTATTTTTGATCATCCTCAGCACCACTGAATAGAAAACAAAAAATAGAAAAAGAAAAATAAAGGATGTAAATACAATTGAAATGGAAGTAATAATACAACATAACGCAAATCGCATACACACCTTTAAAATATCAAAGTCATCGCCGATTGTCAACATGTGAGAGAAGTCACGCC